ATGGGCCTAGGAGAAATCATAAAAGAAATTATTTAGAGATCTACTTTCCAAAAATCTTAGCCAGCCAGCTGTTTACCCATTTCCTTTGGCCAAACTTACCATCTATGTAAAGAGACAATAGTATGATCAGTGAAGTTCTCTTGTATTGCTTTTTGAACAAAGTAATTCATCTGCTCCACCCACTTACACAGAGCCTGTAGTCACTTTATTGGGAAACAAATTTACAGAGGAAAAAAACCCATGCAAGTTATCCATAGTAATCAACCTGTCCTTTATTCAAAAACATGAACAGTCAAGAGTCATAAAATGTTTGTAGAAAACCAGTTATATCAAATAGAAGATAACAGTAAACAAATAGAATAGCCATTCTCTAGCAAATACAAATAATAAATGGACTAGGAGAAAAATTTGCAAAGTAATAGTCATTCCTGGTTTTAGGAATATAGGAGACTGGTTATTCATATCAACCCTTCAGTTGGAAACTGCTAAAAATGCTGCTTTTTTGTATATATACCATATAAAATGTTCTGTAGTTCCCAAGTACTTGGTAAGAGTATTAAGGAATTACCGAGCCAAATCCAGGGAAGTTGAGAGTCCAGAGAGATAGGCCACTTAAGCTGCCTTTGCCTTGAAGCCACTTGTTAGTTCAGACAATTTGAACTTCGATTTTTTTTTAAGATTTTATTTATTTATTCATGAGAGACAGAGAGAGAGAGAGAGAGAGAGAGAGAGAGAGAGAGGCAGGCAGAGACACAGGCAGAGGAAGAAGCAGGCTCCATGCAGGGAGCCCGATGTGGGACTCGATCCTGGGACTCCATGATCACGCCTTGGGCCGAAGGCAGGCGCTAAACCGCTGAGCCACCCAGGGATCTCCTGAACTTTTGACAGCCTCTTGGGACCACACAAGATAGAAAGTGTATAATATGGTGACCTCCCTGCATTAAGCTGGAAAGGATTATTCCTTTCAGAAGTAAAAGAAAAAGTAGTAAAAATTCTTTCCTCAAGGAAATCTCCAGGGTGCACCTGGTTGGCTAAGTCTGTAGAGTATGCAATAATTGATCTCTGGGTCATAAGTTCAAGCCCTGCGATGGGCATAGAGATTACTTTAAAAAATTAATTAAAAAATAAAATTGCCCAAATTTAAAAAAATATAAGATCTTCGGGTTCAGGGAGTTTTATCTTCAATTCCTATTCTACACAAACTCTCAGAGAATAGAAAAGAGGAACCAGCAACTCATTTTATGAAGTATATATAAACTTGATAATGAAGCTCGACAAGGGGAGTATAATTGCATAAACATAGTTTAGGTTCATTCACAAATGTAGATTAGAAGTCCTAAACAAATGCTGGAAAACAGAATCCAGCAGTTTACAAGCAACATTAATATATAGAGTTTATAGTATTAAATGTAAGCTTGGTTCACTATTACAAAGTCTATTAATGTAATTTAATACATTATTATATTAAAAAGCAAAAATATATAATCATTTCAATAGATACAGAAAAAGCATTTAATGAAAACAACCATAAGAGAATTTCCTTAGACTGGTAAAAGACATCCTGAAAAACCTATTAACAAATACCATGTTTAATTACCATTGCTCCTATTTTGTTTTGTACTTGAAGCGCTGTATCGGCAGAAAAATAAATAAATAAAACAAGTAAACTTTTGAAAGCAAGAAATAAAATTGCTATTGTGCAGATGATATTTTTTTTTTGCTATTGTGCAGATGATATATTTTATATATTGATATATCAAATATATATTGATATATATTTATATGTCAAAAATCTAAAGGAACTTACAGAAAAATTATTAAAGGAAATTACAAAAAAATTATTCAACTAATAGAAGAGGTGAGCAAGTTTCCTGGATACAAAATCATTATATGAAATGAGACTAAAATGAATTAAAGAAGACCTAAATAAAATTGAGACTTGTATCATGTCCATTGATTGGAAGTGTTATTGTAGGTATCAGTTCTCACAAAATTGATCTGCAAATTTATTTCAGGGGGAAAGTCTCCATAGTTTTATTTTGGAGAGGATGAGTACCTTACAACCTGATCATAATATTTTTAAGCCAGTATGAAGATCAGCTATGTGACATTCTGGAATAGACAAATTTTTTTTTTTAGATTTTATTTATTCATGAGAGACACACAGAGAGAGGCAGAGACACAGGCAGAGGGAGAAACAGGTTCCATGCAGGGAGCCTGACGTGGGACTCGATCCTGGGACTCCAGGATCATGCCTTGGCCAGTTTATCGGCCGAAGGCGGCGATAAACTGCTGAGCCACCCGGGCTGCCCGGGAAAAGACAAAATTACAGAGACAGTAAAAAGATGAGGGGTTGCTAGGATTCAGGAGAGGGATGGAGGGATGAATAAGTGGAACATGGGGGATTTTTAGGGCAATGAAACCTGACACTGTAATGGTGGAATATGGTATCACACATGTTAAAATCCATAAAATACACAAAACCAAGAGTAAACCCAAATATAAACTATGAACTTTAGTGAATAATTGTTAGAATTGGTTCATCACTTGTGACAAAAGTACTCATGAATACAAGGTATTATATAATAGGGGAAGCTGTATGTGGAGTATATGAGAACTCTCTGTAAAGGCAGAAGTGCTCCAAAAAATTAAGTCTGTTAAATAAAAAATGCAAAGACACAAAAAAACTAAGGAAAGACATGGAAGTGATTATCATAAAAGTCATGATACTGTTTCCCCGAGTGGGGAGGAAAGGAGCTGCACAGAGCATGCAGGAGCTTCCGACATGTTGGCACTGTCATTTAAGTTTGCCTGGTAAAATTGCATATATAGGTTTCATTCATTTTTTTCTTCAGGTATACTGTACTAAAACAATTTTTTTTAATGTAGTAAGGAGGAAAAGGAAGCAAGCAAGCCAAAGATAAACATTGTTTTCTTAGAAATCTCTGATTACCTGAATAGAGAAATTTAATTCAAAGATTAAACAGATAAAACTGCCTATTATTCTGTGATCAAGAAGACAGAGTCAAACACAATAGATATTCCCAAATATGGGCCAAAGAGATGGAAAATGTAAAAGGGAAGTTAAGAAACATGGATGGATACCTGATATTAATTTTTTAGTTGTATCTAATAGAGATTTAGAAAGAAAGCATAGTCACAAAGGAGAAGAGTTTAAGAATTAGAGAATTAAAAGAAGAAATTTCCCTGCAATAAGGAAAGACTAGATACCTATAGTTGGAAGACTGCACTGAGTGTCAAGCAAGATAAAGGATGGGAGACAATTCTTTCATGTCGGAAATTTTGCATTTTAGTTTGAGGGCAAAAGAAGAGCATTTTCAAACATACGAGGATTCAAAGTTTACAGTTTTTCCTATTTTGTTGGCATTGTGCAAAAAATGAAAAACCCAGAATGTAAGACAGGATATGATTAAATAAAATGCGTGCAAAAGATCGTTAACACTCATAGATAAATCTGATTAGCTGATATTTATTTAAGTTTAATGCTATTAGGAATCTGTACAAGACAGAGACTTAATGTTTAAAAATTTTTCTTAATGAAAACTCCAGATTATTTCATGTAAACAGTGGGAAGAGGGTGCCTGGGTGGCTTAGTTGGTTAAGAGTCTGCCTTCAGCTCAGGCAATGGCTGGGGTCACCTGGGATCCAGCCTCATGTCAGGCTTCCTGCTCAGTGGGGAGTCTGCTTCTCCCTCTCCCTCTGTACTCTCTCTTTCTCTCTCTCAGATAAATAAAATCTTTAAAAAAAATGTGGGAAGAAAGCCTATAACTTATTTAATGACCACTGTAAGATAATTAAGAACACTGATCCAATGAAAACCATGAAATAAAAAAGAAGAAATCATGGTAAATAGGAAACTGAAAATAAGATTGAATAGGTTCAACCTGTCAGAAATCACAGGTTGAGGCAGTTTTATAGTTTGCTTACTGAGATCCACTCATACATTATGATGACCTAAAAAGAGTAAAAACGAAGTAAGAGGAGCATAAATAGAATTCTCCAAGGCACATAAATTGAATTTGAAGACCTTAGTGGGAGAAGAAAGGAATATTTTGTATTATTATAGTTTTAACGCATCAAAAAGACAATAGCCTTTCAATAGAGGACAGGCAAGCATCAATATGTACAGAACAAGAAGAGTTAGTAATAAGAAATTGACAAACCATACCATTGTGGGAGAATTCAACACACCTCTTTCAGAAATTGGGAGATCCAATGGAGAAGAGGTAACCAAACTGTAATCGAGAGAATTTGAATATAAAAATTACTGAACTTTTCACATAGTGACATAATATCTTTGAATCCTACCCACAGAATGTATTGGTCATGTCATTTCAATTCTCAGTTTTGTTTATAAGAGATTATATATGGACTTCATTTGTAACTTTTATTTTCCTCTGTATTTTTTTTTTTTTGTATTGCTTGTGTTTAGTTTTGTTTTCTCTTTTTAAATCAGGCTTGCCTAAGATTTGTCTGTTTTATTGGTATTTTTGGTGAGCTTTTGGTTTCATTGATCAAATCTTTCATGTCTTCTCTATGTTATTTCTGCACTCTCTCACATTCTTATGATTTATTTTGGCTTTTTGAGCGAGCTTTTTGGGTTGACTGCTTAATTTATTTTCAATCTTTTATGTTTTCTGTTTGCATCTAAATATATAAATGTATCTTGAAATGGCTTCATTGCATAGGCTTTGATATCAAGTATTACATTGTTAATTTTAAAATAATCTGCAATATCAATTTTGATTTCTTTTTGACTGAAGAATTATTTAGAAGTCTGTTTTTAAATTTCCAACTGTTACAAATATAGATCATGGCTTACTGGAGTCTTTATTCAGCCCTTCCCTGGCTAATTCTGGTGTTAACCTTTTTGGAGAGACTTCACAAGTGAAGCATTAAACAATTAAATAATTCAAAATTTAGTTGTATTTTAATAATTAAAATGTTTTTTTTTTCTCATTGTCTTTTATTTCCTTTAGTCTTACTGCTCTGATCCAAACCTTGTGTTAGATCTGAAGAACCTCATTGTGCTTTTTGCTGACACTCTGCAGGTTTGTGCTTCTGTTTACATAGACTTATCTACAGGAGTATTCATCGGCTCTAGATCTTTTCGTAGTTTACCCAAGCTTGAATAAATGCCTTTTAGTTTTTCTAAAACTAAAAGTTGTGTTTCTTCTTTTCCTTGAGCTAGATCTTTTTTTACAGCATTTCCTGTCATCATCTTGACCAATTTATATTCTCATAAAGAGTTCTAGTCACTCCCCCTTTTTTTGGGGGGAGGGGGAGGCTTAGAGCAAGTCAATTAATTGTACCACTCATTACCTTAGTTTTTAAAAATGTCCTTAATTCAGATATAGTACCTCAGTGATTTTGGAGTTTTTTAACTACTATTTGAATAACAAACGGTTATTGATTTGAACCATGTATCACATCTGATAGAATATCACTAGAAGTGAGTAGCATTTCAAATTTCTCTCCCTACTTGTGAAGTATGCTAAGGGTACAGATGGAATTGTAGGGAGAACTTAGCTGACATTGTCCCTGGTATTGATTTTAATTTTCATCTTTCTATTTTTTTCTGACTGGCTTAAATATTTTGGTATGTATCTTTTAATTTTAGACATTAGGTGCAAGTGAAACATGCTACTGTCATTTAAACTGAATGATGATATATTTCATTGTCTGATTTCCCTCATGTTGCTAATAAAAAAAATCACCTTCTAAAATGAAGTTATTTTTAAATTTTGTTTCAGGTGTATGGTTTTCCTGTAAATCAGCTTTTTGACATGCTGTTAGAAATCAGAGATCAGTATAGTGAGACTCTGCTAAAGAAGTGGGCAGGTATCTTCAGGTGAGAAATTATTTGTAGTTGGGTTTGTGTATGTGCACAGTGCTGGTGTATATACACATGTGTTTATACATAAGGCTTCTCAGATATGATAAGCAACAAGTATGTGTGGCTTATATATTCTAGCTATGATCCAGGTTATGATTCAGAATTCAAGCAAATTATAGAGATGTTCCAAATAAAGTTCCCAAGATGTCTGATCTCAGTGTATTATGTTTACTGTGGAAGAGTCCCCAGGCTCCATTTTGGCTCTCCCCCCAACCCTCGAATAAATATCACATACCTTAGTTCATACCATCCAGATTATACTGTGTCTTCTTAATGTATATTTTGGCTTTCTCTTTGAGGATCATGCCTAGGCTACAGCTCAGTTATAGGGTAGTAGCTTTTGAGCCCCTTTGAATGATTTAGGCTTTTTTGGAACCATTTTGAAGACTTACTCATGTGATTCCTCAAATTCTTCCTTCTCTACATACAAAGAAGAGGCCTATTACATTCCAGTGTTTGAGACATATTATTTAAATAGTTATTGCATCATACATCATGTACACAATCATATGAGAGTTACCTTATTACACCTTGCATTAACAAATATCTCCTTGGACTGTTTTCCTGGTATATGACCCATGTCAGATCCCTTGAGTTTCTTCTCCTTTTGAATCTTTATTCTTTTACTTAAAGTGATCTTCCTGTTTATTGCAAGGCCTTGTCCCCAGATCAGTTTATCCTGTTTCCAAATTCTTCTAGCTTTAAGATCCTACATTTTCCCTTTAATCTTACTAATGGTACAGTTATATTTAAGGGAAGATGATGTCTATAGGGACCTTAAAAATTAATAACATCATATATTCATAGTCTTAAGAGTGTCTGATCTGATCCCTTCAGTAAATTGGTTCTGATTTTGATAGTATGGTCTCTGCATTTTAGAGAGCCTCCAGTCTAGCTAAGGAGCCAGTTCCTATGGATGAAGTTCACTCTTAAATCAGAACAGTAGATGAAGTAAATTAATAGAGTTTGGACTTATTATAGAAGTTACTTTTCCTCATCTACCAATTTTGAAAGTTAGAATAGATATCTAGTATAGAATTAAAGAGCATAATCAAATATATTTTCTTCAAAAGCAAATGAGAAAACAAAATTCTTTTGTCTTTCCCACACACATCCTTTTGTTGTTTGCTACTCATTTGCCTTATGGCTTCTCCATATTGCTATGAAATTTTGTCTCATATCTAAATCTCAGATACTATGATATCATGTTCATACTTGTGTTCCCTTTGTTTCAGACTGTAGTTTTCTTCCTGTCTTCTGTTAAGGTGTTTGTCCCTGAAACAAATAGCTTCATTATAGGAGGAATAGACTAGGGACTGGAAGTCATTTGTTTGGTGGTTATATATATGCAATTGTTTGAGTTTACCTGAAAATTACTTGTAATCACTATGTGATTAACCAGTCCACCCTTCTTTCCTTCCTTTTCTTTCTAGAAACATACTTGATTCTGACAACTACAGTCCTATACCAGTAACAAGTGAAGAAATGTATAAAAAGGTGGTAGGACAATTCCCATTCCAAGATACAGAACTGGAAAAGGTAAGGAATACTATCAAATAAAATTCTGTTTGCTTTGGCATCCTATAAATTTTTCACTTTATCAGTTTCATTAAAGGCATTACCTCCAACTCAATGTGTTTAAACTCTAAAACACCTTCAGAGAATAATTTTGGGACTAAGAAGAATAGAAGTTCCTGCTTTGGGAATCAGTAGATGACCTGAGGGCCCTTTCAACTTTGAAGTGTTAGGAGTATTGCTGGGCATGTTCCAATTTTGTTTTACACTGTGAAATAATTGCTTTTATTATACTTTCAGGACATTTTCCCCCAAACATAAAGTTAAAATTATCCTGTGCTATATAATTCTAATGGTTTTGACAGTGTTTTGAGTCATATATGTACTACCACAATAACAATACCAAAAGTTCCCTCATCCCCAAAAGTTCCCTCATGCTGCTCTTTTTTAATCAGTTCCTCCCAACACTAACCCCCAGCCTTTGGCAGCCAATCTGGTTGCTATCCATCTACTTTGCCTTTTCAAGAATGCCATCTAAACAGAATCATACAGTAGGTAACCTTTAGAGGCTGACTTTTTTCACTCAGCATGATGCTTTTTGAGATTCGTTTAAGTTGATGTATATAGCAATAATTCATTCCTTTTTATTGCTGAATATTTACCACAGTTTTTTTTTTTTTTAGCCCTTCGAGTGTTGAAAGGCATTTGAATCATTATTTATTTAAATTTACATCTTCTTTGCAGTATCAGGAAACTTTTGGAAACACTTTCTTAAATTTAAGGTTGTTAAATAGACCGTTTGCCATGTGGAAGAAAATTCCTTTTGCATTTTAATTAATTTATAAGAATCTTCAACGTATGTTAGTTTGTGACTTACTTCCATTAATTCTTGCATTTACAGCAACCATTTCCCAAAAAGTTTCCTTTCTCTGAATTTGTGCCAAAAGTTTACAACCAAATTAAAGAATTTATCTATGCCTGCCTGAAATTTTCTGAAGATCTTCACCTAAGGTATGCTGTGAAACAGTGGAAATGCAACAGACATTGAGACTGTGACTCTTATGTGCATAAATATTCTGAAAATCTTTCCATTCTCCCTTCAGCTCTGAATTTGAAAGTCTTAATATTAGCCCTTCACAGCATGGCACCTGCTATATTTATGAATATAGTCATGGTAAAAGAGAAAGTTGGAAACCAGCAAATAATTTGTTTTTGTTTATATTACTTAGCTTATTCTCTATATTCATTATAGATTTGCATTTCAACACTTTTTGTTAGTGAGAATTAACTAGAAAACAGTGTATTAATTTTTACATTCTACTTGATAAAATTTTAAGGCCACTAGGGGAGTAACAAGTAAAATCCCTTGGAAACATCCTTCTTTCCAAATATTCTCTGGACTTGTTGAAGTTATCCACATCTCCTTTAAGTTAAGTTATTTAACTAACATATACTGAGCCTATTTATGTGCCAGGTACCTCCTACTTATTGGGAATGCAGAAGTAAAAGACACAGTTCTTTGCCCTCAGATATTGTCAGTATGTACTGAGGATATTAGGCATGAAAATATACCATGGAAAGTGTTGAAATATGGAGAATTTACTTGCAAAACACCTAGAAGACTAATTAGATCATCTTAAAGAATTTGGGGGGGAATAGTCATTATGACCATCTTTTAGATTGTCTTTTCTAAAAGATAATTGTCTTTTCTAGAACCCCCTTCTCTCATTCACCCAAGCCAAAAATGTAAGAATCATTTTAACTTCTTATTTTCTATTAGTATCTATTTTTATTAAAAACAAAGCTTCAAGCGTTGGTCTACGTTTTTGTAAACAGTTTATAAATATATTAAAAACTGTAAAACTCAAAATAGTACTGACCTGCGAGGTACTAGATATACTCCATTTTTCAGAGGAAGAAAGTGAGCAGAGGGAGGTTAAGTTACTTTATCAAGGTCACACAGGAGTGCTTAAGCCAGTATTCAAATCTGGTCAGCATCAGCTTCAACAAAATGATTACTGCCATGTTCACAATTTTTACCCTTGGCTTCACAGTATTAGTATTTTACATGCATTATCTCAGATAGTTGTCACAATGTTGTGTTAATTATTCTTATTTAACAAATGAAGGCAATGATCATTTGTAAATTAGCCTCTCTAAACTAATTGGGGAGAAAATTGATGGTTGTATGTTTTTTATTTGCACCTCTTTTTTTTTTCTTCTTCTTTAAAGTTCTCTCTTCCCAGTGTGACTGCTTTCATTGATATTGTAGTTATAATCGCCTTGGGCCACTTAAATAATCTCCTAATTGTTCTGAAATGTTTACTTTCTCAACCATCTGCCCTTTCTCCTCATTCTATGCTATATGTTCCTTAGAGTAATTTTTCTAAAATTAGATCTTATCATTTAACTTTACTCAGCTTTCCAAGGATTCCTCATGGGTTACAGCATAAGGCTCAGTCTCTAGCCAGACAGTTAACGATCTAGCTCCTCTGCTCCTTGGCCTAGTCCTCCTTTACCTTTCCAGGTTCAGATCCCAGGCTAATTTCTGTGTCACTCCATGCTTCAGTCCTACCAACCTACTTACTGTGTTTTGATCCTAATATGCCATTTGATACTTGGCTTTCCTCATGATTCTGTCTCTACCTTGTCAGTGCTCCTTAACTAGCTTCTTTTTTTTTTAAGATTTTATTTATTTAGTTATTCATAAGAGATGGAGAGAGAGAGGTAAACACATAGGCAGAGGGAGAAGCAGGCTCCCTGCAAGGAGCCTTATGTGGGTCTCAATCCCAGGACCCTGGGATCATGACTTGAGCCAAAGGCAGATGCTCAACCACTGAGCCACCCAGGGTACCCCCTTTAACTAGCTTCTTACCATCCTTCCAGGTTCACTCTAAGCCTTTAATGAACGAAACCTTTCTGATTACTTCCATCCCTAATGGAGTTGATCTGCTGACTCCTTTGTGCTCTTTCTGTACCTTGCAAATGCTGTCATCAAAGCTTCCCTTAGATTTTATTGCTCTACTTATATCTTTGCATTTCTGTATGTGCTAGACTATAGGCTCCTCTGTTCATTTATTTACTGGTTTATTCACCTTCCATTATAGGAAATTTGTTATTGGTTAGCTGGTGCTTGGTAGTAAGGACATTAAGATGCTGAAAATATAGTCACTGTCACTAAGGAGTGTGTAATCTGAGGAACTGAACAATTGGTGATATGCACTATGAGGGAGAGACATAGCAGCAGCATAGGAGCCAAAAATTGAGACAAATTAAGGATGTTAGAAAAGGTCTCTGGAAAGGTAGAAACATTTAATGTTTGTTCAGCACAACATCCCCTGTACCAGCTCAGTAAATTTATAACAAAAAGAAAAAATGAGTGAATGGAATGTATGGCATGCCAGGCAACTCTGAAAGTAAACATAATTGGAAAATAGTTTGAGTTACCTGTTTGATAATCATTCTTACTAAGTAAAAAAATGAAGCATGGGTTTTGTACAGTTAATTTGTTCTTTTCTCTGAAAATGAGATCATTTTCATAGAAATGGCCTCATAGAAATGAGATTATCTTTGGAGGTTATAAACCAAAACTTTTTTTACCCCTTGGGGTCCACGCTCTCCACCCTCACCAAATGACTTACTAACCGAGAATGGTCTCTAGGGTACTGTGAGGTATGTTACGGTATAGAAAATATTACAAGTGCATAGCATAGAGACTTTTTCTATCCTGTGTTGGAGGAAAGGTAATATGGTAAAGGGATAATGTGAGTAAATTTTTCAGAAGTCTTTTTCTTGCTTGAATATATTGAGCTTTTGCCTGAAAACTCCCTCTGTTATGTTTAACATTGACAAAAATAAATATTCATTTTAGGAAGATTTTATAGGTGCCTTTACTCTTTAGTTTACATTTACCTTATTTTTTAAGTCTATATTTGCCTTGTAACCTGGAGTGACAGAGACCACTTTGACAATCATAACTGTCATTGGGGCAGATTATAATATGAGATATGAGAATAATATATACAAAAACACTTCTTTTAAACACAAGACTCTTAAAATGGGAAAAATTGGTGTATTGAGATTTTTATGAAGCTTTAAAGATAATTATTCTTGTAAATGAAAGTCTTATTTTTTTTTCCTGTAAGACTTTTCCCTTTTATATTTGATGACAAATGCTGAATAGCATGAGAAATATTGAAAAAAATATGTGAATTCTGAGGACAAAAAACTTTCTGTTTGAAAGAAAATCATTTTTTAAAGACAGCAAATAAATGGCATGTCTTTGGTAAAATAATGTTCTAGCATTTGCACTTGACTTAAAAAATAGGAATACACAGTTTTTTTATGTTATAAAGTTGGATCTCTAAAGAATCTAGGAGATAGAGAACAGTTCAAAGAAGAAAAATTTTAAAAACTCAAAAATTTAAAACATAGTAATAACCACTCTTTATATGTGAGAAATCCTTTTCTTTTACTCTTTATATGTGAATACATGTACCTGCATAAGGCTTTTTTTTTTAAAGCAAATTACTGTAAGATATTTCTGCTTCTATATATGATATAAGAAAGCTGGAAAGAGTATTGTTTCCTCCCTAATAATGAAAAACATCACAAAACAAAACAGATAAACTACGAAATGAAAACTTTTATGGAACCCATCAGAGAGCTGAAGTTACAGGGTGACCAGCTACCCTGAAATTCAAGATGAGACTGGACCTTCTAAGAAGAGTGATGGGATGCACAGATTCCCATCAGAGCAAGAAGAAAGGTAGAGATACCACACAAGTAAGAAAGAGGAGATCAAAGTCTCAATGGATTGCTAACACCTTAGTCGGAGCTAGCATGTTAGTACAGAACCTCTAGTTGTGAGTCCCAGATCCAGGAAGAAGTCACATTCACTCATCTGTTCTTTTCCATGGACCTTTACTGGGTGCTCTTGAGAAAAATTGGGAGCTGAATAAGAGATCAGAGAGAACCATCCATGATGTTGCAGGTGTGGAGAAGGGGATCAGCCACTGCTATGAGGAGATCATGAAGCCCCACCCCATGGTTTGAACTCTTCATTTATACCTATCACAAACTGTGGCACTGGGGTAGGGTAGCAAACTCTGTCTGCAGGGCACAGGAAAAGACCCATTGTTACAGCAGGAAGGACAAGAAAAAAAAGTTTCTGGCCCCTGGAAGAAGGGCAGAAAACAGTCCTGGGTCCAGGATCTTATATACTGGTACGATTAGATCTTCTAACACTGGGGGAAGGCAGAAAATTGCAGTAGGCCCCCTGCAGGCATAAAGTAGAGTTGGGCTGCCACTGAGCAGGGATCTTGAGCAAGCTCCACTTCTGAGCACCAGGCATACAGGGCCTCCCTGAGACTGAGGCTAGCCAGGACAACAGAGAAAGTTCATTGAGCTCTATTCATAGTTTAGCAATGACTAAATAGTCAGCAACCTATTACTGGTTGCTGGACAAGAATGTAGAGAAAGAGAGATCAGGTCTGTATTTTAGGCATAGAGGTGTATAACTGAAACTGGTGGGTGGTGCAGAAACTTTCTGAAAAACCCTCTGGATCCCAGCACTCACACCAGTCCTACGTAATCAGTGGGAGAATTTGAAACCTGTGAAGTGCTGTAGGTAACGACGGCAACACCAAAACCCAAACCCAGTTCAATTCTTGTTTATATTCATGGCCCAATAGGGGGAGGGACATAGTCATTTCCAAGTATAATTACTGTGACCTTAACCTCTACTGTTTTACATATGATATCCAAACTTCAATAAGAAATGGGAGACATTCAATAAAGCAATTAAAAATGACTCATTGTCAGGGGAAGATGAAATCAACAAAACCAGACTCTGAGGACCCAGATGATAGAACATTTAAAGTTAGAACTTTAAAATACTATATACATAAACAGATAGGGACTTTAGGGAGAAAGGTGGACATTTTTGGAAAGAGTCAAATGGAAATGCTTGATATAAGAAACTGTTTTAGAAATAAAGACTTCCTTTGAGA